GGGAGGCGCGGGGGAGAAGGAGAGAGAATTGCGGGTGATTCCTCCTCCTCTGCTCTGTAGTTCCCCACAGAAAAACGTGACTGTAGATCGTGCTTTGTGAGTCTCACCCTCTTCCTACGAAAATATGTCCTTCAGTCTCTTTTGAAAGGAAGCAGTCAAAAGTTTGCTAAATATACGAGAAGGAATTCTCAGTCGAGAGGGGCTTCCTGCTGCATTAGAGCATCTAATGAGCTGTGCACACAGAAACCGCAGGGAAGGAGAGAACCTGTCATGTTCCCGGGCTGTAAACACAGCCTGAGATTAACACTGTGCAGACATCCCCCTCCAGGTGAGGGATCTGGAACAGCAGCCTGATTGGGAAACGGATTTAGCGTCATAAACGGCGATTTGGGAAAACAAACCTTTCCAGGCCGGTTCCCGCAGGGGTTAATCACTCCCAGCACCCGGGTTAGGTGTGCACTGCAGATGGCAAGAGGAATCCCAGGGTGAGCCCTGCTCTGGAATCCAGGCTGTCCGTGTGCATGCATCGTGCAACTTCCTAGCATACACAGAAAGTTAAAAAGGAATTCTCAGTCAGACAGCTTGGCTGATAGGTGCTTCAGAAAAAAGTATGATTTTCGAGAGAGCGATACTAGTACTTACTAATAATTCATATTAGTGGTAGATAAGGGAAGGAAAAGAGAGATTATAAACTCCTGTTTTGGCTAAGCCACCAGCACTGCAAAATGCTGGCTGGGTTTGGATTCAGTCCAATAACGCCTCAGAGAAGAATTTCACTCCATTGGATACCAGCAAGGATGAATTTGGCTCCTTGCATCAAAAGTCGGGGAGGAAAATGCAGTGAAGGCAAAATAAAATGCAGCATAACTTGGGGAAAGAAATGTAAGGAATGGTAAAAGGAAGAGAAAGCAGAGAGGGAGTGGGAGGAGGATAAGAGGTAGTTTTCCAGTGAGAAAACTGGGTTCAATTTAAGATTCATTTTCCATCTCTGCTGCAGCAGAAATCACGTAGTTTAGTAAAACAACATAGGTCAGAATCATGAAATAGATCACAAACATTGCCCATAAGCTTAGCAGGAACAACTACCTTTTGTACAGTTATTCTGAAAATGCATGAGGGAAGGGATGGATCCTGTGTTGTTGAGGAATGTGGCTGCCTCTATCCTGGGAGATGCAGAGGGGGGCAGGCTTTTGCACGGCAGCACCGGGATTTCTGTCGCAATAAGTGCTACTAAGCAATTTTAACTGGTTCTTTAGCATCTTTTAAGGATAATAAACAAAACAGAAGAAGAAGTAAAAACACATGGGGAGTTTATTGACTCTATCTGGTAGTATTTGAACACTGATTTCACGCTGTGTACAGGGCAAATGTGAGAAGTCTATAAAACAAGTAGGAGGAGAGAGAAAACCGGAATTTGGTCTAAGAATGATTCAGCTCCTTCTTAATTATTCAGGCAAATATTCAGCAGGCTTAACAAGCAGTACCTGTGGGCACAGCCCATGAATAATGAGGCAGGGAACATGCTCTCCTGCATGACAGCAGCACGATGTGTGTTCCCACATTACCAGCCAGGAGCTGGAGAAGGGCAGAAAAGGCAAAGCCTGCAGCAGGTTCAAAGGGGGAAAGAACAACCCCTGTTTTGTCCATGGTTTGAGATCTGCGGGCAGCAGAAGCTTCCTGGCTGCTCACAGCATCACCTTCAGCCTCCAGCTCGCACCCCTGTGTGCTGCAAAGCTGGGCTGTGAGGCAGCCAAGTGAGGGAAACACCAAAATGCTGACAGTGCCACCAGATCCTGGATGTTATTTCCTGGACTCTCTTAGAGTCCCTTGTAACACAAAGACTGCCTTGATTCTCTTCACCTTCCTCAGACATCTCCTTTTTTTTTTTTTTCCTTTTTCAGCAGAGAGGGAAATATCTTGTTTATCCAAATGCTGCTCATCCGTGCCTCAAGTATGTGGCTGGGAAAGAAATTAAACTAAGCATAAAACAAATAAGAGAGGAAAAATATACCTGCTTTGGCACTGAACAATTCCCAGCCCCTCTGACTTCTGCCTTTTCCCAGGCTGAGATGCCAAGGCATGCCCCAGTCTGATATGGGCTGTGCAATAAGAACAGTTTGAGGATGGAGCCCTTTATGCAGAACTCCTAATTACCTTCTGTCATTCACTGCTCTTTATGTAACTCTGAATTTTGACCATCAACAGTACTTGCATCTATGTGCCCCAGGCTGCTTCTGATTAAATTTGAAGGAATGGCTGGGCCTAATTTTTCCCTGCATTTTCAGGATCTCTAGATACACAGTTTAGCTGTGGGCTTTTTAAAGGACCTGTCTATGATCAGGTGCTCCAGTTTAGGCCAAGCCAAGATTCCTCTGAGGCTTATATTAAAAAATAGAGAGATTTAAAATACGATTGTAACATAAACCCTTGGAGATGAGTCCCCACCGATTTCCTGATCACTCTTTTAGATGTGCACAGTCAGATCCCCAAAAGTGTTTTGGTACCTGATTCCTGACCAGTTAAAGAGCAACCAGAGCTAAGATACTTGGTGAGCCTGGGTTCCACTGCTACCCCCACCTCCCCCTGCTGTTTGGTGTTGCAATTTCCTGTTTCTTTTGCCTAACTTTTCCATGAGCACAAAAACACAGTGGCACACACCAATATATTAGCACACAATGTCATTTACTTGCACTTTCCATATGATTTTAGCCATATACCCTGACAACTAATCTTTAAGTGAGTGCAAATTAAAGTCCTGGTTTAATCCACACTTTTAACGAGGTTATGCTTTTGGGGGCTATTTCTTGTTTACAGAAAACACAGGCTATTTAAAACTGTGACTTTTGGAACTGAGAAGCGCAATTCTCTTTGTGTGCAGACTTTAAAATCAGTGGAGCTGTGATGAGTTCAACAATCTGAATTGTGATTTTTAATAATCCACCTGGAGATGAGGGTATAGCTGGTCCTTCCTTTATGGTTATAACTGCCAACTGCACAATACATGTGTTTGTCACAGTATTTATTGAATCAGTTTTGAATGCTGTGAAGTGGTGCACAAGTACTAACTTCATTCCACTTGTGCCTGATTATACTGAGTGAGGTAAATGGGATTTAAGAAGGGAAATAGAAACCTCACTAATCTTGAAGCAAAAGACAAAAACATAAAGCAAACCAGAACGCCCCTTCTGCTCCCAGATAATGGTTTCTGTCCATGAGATGGACAGCTCTGAGGGTCCCCTGCAGAGGTATTGGTTCACCAGCTGTGCCACCAGCTGCTACAGCAAATGGTGAAAGTCACAGCACATGAGGATTTCCTGAAGGTGCTGGCCCACACCAGAATAAAAGCTAGAGCTGCCATGTCAGACCGTGCCATCATGGTGACTTCCTCTGACTTTAGCACATGTCATGCCGCTTCTTTGCTCTTTTACAAGGAGAAATGTTGACCATTTCCCTGGCATCCTGATGTGTCCCCCTCCCTCACCTGTGAGGCAGTCTCAGCTAATGCAAACTGGCTGAGCATTTTTGACCTTAATTTTTGTACCTGGCTCTGATTTGTTCCACTCCAACCAGGACATGGCTGTGGTTCTACCCTTCCCTTACACAGTTAAAAGGGCTGGTGAGAGACAGCTGCTCTTCTGGTATGAAACTTCCCTTGCCCAAACTTTAACCTGGAGGAGTTTGTAGCTCAAAGAGGAGCTGTAAGCACCAAGTTTTTCCTTTCCCTCGCTGTTTCCTCTCCTTATAGTGCGTGGGAAGGTGTTGACTGTTAGTAGGTCTAGTTCCTGCTCTTCCTTTAAACTGGGTCATCACAATTTACCCTCCTACCTACTGTAAGGATTTGGGGTTTTTTCCTTCTCTACCCTTTGATGTTATCCTTCTGCAACTCTTCCTCTCCTCCCCTTCTTTCCTTTCCCTCTGTTTCCTCCTTAATCTAAACAGGAGGAAAGTGGGTCACTTCATAATTGCTCTTCTCTATTTCAGAGAAACCCAGAGGCACAAAATGGAACAAACAGGTAAGTGTCACTAATTCAGGGGAGCTTTAAAGATATTTTCCTTTTGGATGTCTCCTGGGCTTGCTTCACCTGCTCCTTTCCCTTTTCTTCCAAACTCCTGATGTAACAACTAGTGCTGCTGTTTGGTTGTGTAGTTAAAATTTCAAGTTGAGACTAAGTGACTTGGTGTGCTGAAAGTAAGCATATAGGGCTTTTACCTCTCCCTTTAATGATTTTTTTTTGTTTTAGTTCAATGGAATGAAAAAATTTTATGAAGGGGATGAATTATACTTAAATATACTAAGGAGGGAATGATTCAGTGCTGATGCAATAACTTGCAATAACTTTGGGCATCCATAGAAGTGATTCAGAAAAAAGGAAAGGCTTCGTCACTCATTGAGTCTTTATCTGTGAGCTCCCTGCCACACATTAGGACTTTAGATCACCCTCAGTAAGACAAAACAAGAGATGTGCAGCCCACTCAAGCACATAATTCTGATTTTTTTAATGTAGGCACAATCCCTGGGATTCTTTTGCCACCAAGGCCTCATTTTGTCAGGGCCATTGTGTGCTGCTTTCAGTGAAAAACTTTATTTTAAAGAGTCCTTTTCCGAGGAGAGAGTTGGAGTGTGGAGTCAGGTGTGGTGTAAGAGGACTTCCAGGGTTAGAAGACTCAGTAGCTGAGGCCTTTTATGGACAGGCATAACATTTTGTCTTTGGTTTGGTTTGAGATCCAGGGTTTATAGATCCTAGGACTGTACTGCTCACCATTAGCTTTTCCACAACATAGGTAATTAATATGGAATACATCAGACAAGCGAGCTTAGGTAGTTACAGAGCTAATGAATGTTACTGTCCATCACAAGATTGCTGTTCTAGGGCTTCAGTTTTGAATTTTGGATAACACCTTTTCCTCCAATTTTCATTGTACTGAGAAAGAAAATGTTCTCTCACCTTGGCAAATTCTCTTGTTATTTGTTGTGCAGAGTGGAGGAAGAGACCAAGAAGGGCAGTGACCTGGGCTTTGCTCCTAGCCTGGATATTGGACAACTGTACCATTCTGGAAAAAGTCACTTCCACATTGAAAATTGGTGTTTTGGGCTGAACTACAAAAGTCCCCCTCTATGAGCACTGCTTGGAACAGTCCTTGGTTTTTCACAGAACATGCTGCTCTTTCCCTGTAGAAACTGGGGTTGAATCTGTCTCTGCCTCTCATCCTGTTGCTTCATCCTCCCTGTTGAAGATGTAAATATTTCCATCTTCACATATTGTTTACTATACATCTGCCCAGTGGGACCTGGTGATGCCTCTGCAATTCACCTCTCCAAGGAGAGCCTGGAAATCCAATGGGGCAACTGCTTGGAGAGGAGGTTTCTGTTTGTAGGTAAAGGAAAGGCAGAAGCTTGCTGATCTTTTTGGAGACTCATTTCTGTCACTAAGGGCTCTTGGGAAAGCCTAAAATGTCTGTTTAATCTCTGCCCAGACAGAGACTACATCTGACAGGAAACCCACTCTGGGGGAAGTGGCAAGTGTTCCTCTGGGCTGTGATGTCAACTTTGTCATACAGATGCACATCTGGAATAATTCAGGTGACTCTAAGGAGGCCAGGTCTGTGCTATACAACAGGACTGAGTTTTAAGATAGATCAGACAAATATGTAACTTAAGGTGTTAACCCTTTTTGTTCCTCAGATTCCATATACATTGCACTAGATTTAAAATTGCTCCTGGCAATATTCCTCAGCCTTTTTTGAAGCAAAAAGGAGTCCAATGCATCCTTGGTCTAACAGGAATATTCTGTCTGAGGATTTATGGGTCAATGTCTTAATATATCTCTAAAATGGTAGTAAAAACTACCCTGGTAACTTCCTGAGGGTTATTTCAATTTCCCCTCCTAGTGTTCTGCAGATAATTTATATTTTTTTAAATTGATAAACTTGCTGAAAATTACAAGTGAGGGAAACAAATCTGTCAAGAACTCCCCAGCCTCTGAATGTGGAGTGTTGGTTTTTTCTTCCTTAACTCACAAATATTTAAAATATTTTGAGAAACCAATGCTTCTCTGAAGAAAAGTGTACTTCTCTCAGCCTAATTCTTTCCCCAGGTGTTTTAAGGAGTGTTCTTTGACCTGCCTATTTCTAAAACATGCAGTTATGGGTTCCTCTAGGTTAATTAGCGAGCCTTTTTCTCATATGCGGTATAAGCATAATACAAAGCTGAATCTGAGATGTCAGTTTACTGCTGAATCTACATTTTCATGCAAGTACCAAACACTGCAGCGTGATCACACTTGAGCACCTGCACTGCTGTGAAGCCCGCTCCTGGTGTGGTAGGGGGTGTTGTGGGTCAGGCCTGGGTGTGTTGCCATGCTGAGGAGTTGTTTTCATGTTGCCTGATCAAGGTGTGCTCTTGCAGTGTAAGAAGATGAGAGGGAAGGACTGGAGAATGTGGAGACCGGATCCAAAATTTCCTGTGGGCTTTAACACAGGTCTGCAGACAGCTTTGGACTGAGGGATGATATGGATTCCTCTTGGATTGCTTATAAATAGTTCCCTAGACATTCTTTCTTATGCAGCAAAAATCCTCATTACTTGAAGACTGTCTGAGCAACCCACCCACCAGTCAGACTGCAGCTCTTATACTTGCCAAAAAAAGAGACCCTATATTAAGAGGAGTCCCTCAGAGCCAGCCCAGACCACAACTGAGCAGCCCCAGGTGAGGATGAAGCCTACCCTGGGACCTTTTTTTAGCCCATTACAGCCCTTCTCAGGCTCAGCTGCCTTTCCAGATCCTGACAGTGCCTACAGCAGTGCTTCCTTTCTTGCTGGGCCTCAGAGCAGGCCTGTGGCATTTTTCTCTGACTCGTCAAAAATGCTTTTGAAAGATGTCCAGAGACTTGGTCATACTCATGATCTCCCAGCACCTTTCCAAGGTGAAGGGATGGAGTTAAAAGATGACTAGATAAATAATAATCTATTTTAATTGTTTATTATCTTGTTATTTTAGTGTGGCTGCTACAGCTGAAACACTGTAATGTTCCTCATGACCAGGATGATCCAGATAACAGGAAGACTAAAATAGTCCTTTGCCTCTGGCATTCTTTTTGCTGTTATGGTCTCAAGGGATGCTGGGGATTGCTCTGCTGGGAGCTGGGCTGTTGGTTTGGCTGAGCAGAGGAGATGAGGGCTCTTTATGTCCTCTGCAGACAATGTGAGGCAAAGGCACTAGGTAAATGGAGCTGATGTCCCCTCTGTGGTAGCTTCTGTCCCACCCCAATCTGGATTCATGGTTTGCTATTTGACTTTTCTGCACCTGGAGGATGGAGGTTAAGCCTTTGCAGTATGACTGATGACCAATTATTTTTTTCCACAGCTCAAGGAAGGCCAAAACTAAGCTTTAATGTCTAGACTGACTCTTGGCTTCTGGATGACAGACTGCTGGGACTTGGCTGCTTGTATCAGGCTGAGGTTTGTGCAGGGGAATGTTTGAGGAGAGGCAGGAAGAGGTGAAGAATTGAGGATGGAGCAGAGCCCTGTATGAGCAACGGAGTTGAAGCTGTGAGGTCTGTCTGATTGTAAAAGGACAGCTAGTCAGGCAAATTCTTATGGTCTTTGCCATGACACTGTGGTTGGGCAGGGAACTGTGTGTTACCTGCTCAGGGGCTTCACCTGGGGTGCTAATGCTGCCCCACTTGATGTGCTCCAGTGTTGGCTTTTGCCTTGTCCTTGCCCCAGACTTTGTGAGCACTTAGCTGTCAGGGGATCCCAAGCAGCCACCCAAAGTGTTTTATGGGAGTAAATTATTCCTGGGGTGTTTTCAACCACACAGCACACATGCAAACAGGATCAAGATGTGCTGAAATTTATACCTGACTCTTGTTTTCAGTAGTTCAAGGAACAGAAGAGGCTTCTGCCTGCCCCAGAAGCAGGGGAGCAATGTCCAGAGGCATATGCAAGATGAGTCTGGACATAAAAAGAGCTTTCTTGCAGCTTGTCTTTTGTGCCTGTTATGCCAGTGTTGAGGAGGCATAGGCACATTGATTCAAGGCAGGTAGCTCAGGGTGAAGCTGCAGACTGAGCTCTGGATGGGTCAGGGCCAGTTCAGGGCCTCTTGCCTCAGTTCCCTGCCCTCCTCAGCTCAGTCTGCAGCTCCACCCTGAGCTACCTGCCCTGACTGTCTTCCTCAATAATCAGGATGCTCCTCCTGCCTCCCCAGCCCTGCCCAGTGTGGTGCAGAGCCTCTGGCAGGCGGAACAGCAGGGAGCAGAGCTGCTCCTGTTCCCAGCAGGCAGGACCCTTGGAAGGCAATGAGCTTTCATGGAATAGGAAAGGTCTGCAGGGAAGGCCCACAGAGGCTAGTTAAGCTCTTCACACTCAATCCTCTTCACCCAGAGGATGATTGGGCACTGAACAGACTCCCCAGGGAAGTGGTCACAGCACTGGGGCGGCCAGAGTTGAAGGAGCATTTGGACAACACCCTCAGGCACATGGTGGCATTCTTGGGTAGGTCTTATGGGGAGCCAGGAGTTGGGCTTTGATTTTTGTGGGACCCTCCCAACCCAGAATAACCCATAGTTCTGTGATTCGATTTGGTTTCTGAATGTCCCCTTGCTCCTGTGAGTCACCTGGCATATGGCCCTGATGCCTCACCAGCTCTCTGTGTCAGCACTGAAGCCTCTCTGCAGAAGGAACCCTTTGGCTGATCTGAGCTCTCCTGCACAAAAAGCCCAGAATTGATCATGGTAAGGCAGAAATAGCTTTGTGCTGGAGCCAAGGTCCTTTCAAGGTAGGAGTATTTCATTTGGGTGATTTTAGCAGCGCCAGGCTCATTGGTAACTTCAGCTACTTGAATTCATTGGGAGTCCAGCCCCAAATACATGGTACTCAAGGAAATTAAAAATAATCCATTTGGAGCACATATTTGCTTTCTAGCTTTCAGCTACTTCAAAGCTGTGCTTCCAGCACTTACACCTCCAGCCACAGCTGGTAGAAAATGGACCAAAGATTGTCACAGTACAGAGCTTGGCAGAGTAGGAGCTGCCCTGCTGGTGTCGGGGGAGTTGGATCATATGCTGCCTCCTAAGCTTTGGAGGCTCCTCCCAGGAGTTTTCCATTTTTTCCCTTCTCCTCACACATGTGCTTCTGATAGGAGCCAGAATGTGGCCCTGCATGGATAGGGCAGCATTGCTGTGCCCTCTTGTGTTGCCACAGGACCTATCCAAAACTTCCAGCTGTTACCACTGTACTACATAAATGACTATTCACAACACAGCCTTATTGGAGAAACTTCTGGGTGTGACAAAGGTACTGGAACCTTTCTCTTTCAATGGCTCTGTACAATTTGTTGTTTTTACTTTCCCCCATAAACAGATAATAATACAGCACAGGCTGAAGGGGGGAGCAACCTGCATGAATTTATAGCTGGCATGACATTTCCTTGTGGAAATGTAGCTTACCTGTATGAAGAGTCAGCCCTGGCACTGTTTTCTTTGAGCTTGGGATGCTGCCATCCTATGCACCAGTCCCAGTGCTTATTTGGCAATCAGCAAGTGAGGCCACGCCTGATACTGGGTATGAATCCACAGCAGGGAGGAATTCTCCCACACACTGCCAGGGAACAGATTTATTGCCACATATCCACACACAGTGCCGAATTCACCTAAGTCTCTTTTAATGTTCTATTTTAATTGCTCATCTCAGCCAGCTGATGATAAATCAGTCTTAAATTTGCTGTGAGGATTTGGGGGGGTAGGGATTGAGTGAGATTTTATTGATATTATTGCAAAAGGTCTTTTCTATCTTTTCTGGGTAAATGAATTCTGTCCTTTTGGTTGTATTAAAGACCTTTCAGAACCAATCTGCCAGCATTCCTCTCTGCACACTGAGCAATCACTGTGCAGACTGCTGCATCCCCAGCCAGCAGAATACTGCGTGCTGGCTGGAGCCCTCAGCTCCACCTGCCTGCACTGGAAATCAGACTGCAGGGAAGAACTTGTGCTAGAAGCCTCTTGTTTTCTCTTTAGTTTTGATGGTGTTTTTTATTTTTTTGGGTTTTTTTTCTCTTTAAACCCATTCTGTACAGCTAAACTGTAGTTTTGCAGTGCTTGTGGGACAGCATCTGAAGAGTAACAAAAACCAGTGTGTTAATCAGTTCTCCCTCTCTTTCAATGCAGGAGCAGTTTGAAGGCCATAATCTGAATCTCAGCATTACAGTTCAGCTGCTGAGTTTTGAAACTCCCTTTTTTTAAAACATTCTATAGAAATCCTATAATTTTTTTTCCTGGTATATAGCCTTTTCCAAGAAGGGCTTTTGGGAGTGGTGGGCACATCATAATTTGAATATAAACCTGTCAATCATAAATCAACATGACAGTTGTGCCTAAAGCAAGGCTAATCCCATCTTTTCTTGTGCTGTATAGCATATATAATGATGAACATACCCATGCTCCAATGAGTTTGTGGTCTAAAATAGGCAAGAATGGCAAAAGGGAGTACAAAGTAGCCATTTCTAGTCTCTGCTTTTCTGCTTTCAGTAAATTTTCCCTGTATGCTGACAACTCCAAGATTGTGCAAGGTAATGGTTATGATTAATCCAAGAAACCTGGGAGGTATTTAAATTTAAAGTGATATATTTCAGATCATAATTCAGACTCTCTCTGAGGAAGGAATTATTGATTTTGATCTTGATTTTTTTCTTTTTTTTTCTTGAGACAGTCTTGTAGCTGCCTAATTGGGAAGATGATGAGAAGATAAAGTAGTGCATGTCTCCTCATTCCAGATCCTGCTTGGCATCTGGGGCAGGACTGCCACCAGTGTGATATGGATGGGTGTCCTGTGATGGGCTCACATGGCAGGACAGTGCAGCCACTGCTTTGCTAAATGACCT